CTCTTAAAGTTCTAAAAATTTCGAAAAGAACCTCAAGGAATTCTGAGGATGGACTTCTTCGCAACTGTACAAAGTTTAAAGACAGCTTTTGAATTCCCTAATTGAGAAATTGGTATTAATTTGCTATTGAACCTTGATCTTTTGTTGCCTAAAAATCTTCTCTGAAAATTACAAATCATTTGTTACCGTGGTTAAAAAGTTACAGCTGTTTATCTGCGTTGTATTAAATTTGGATTTGACCTTTATATCATCTTTAAAACATGTTGAATGTTCGGCATTATTTTCTGTCACCCCGACTGGCGGTTCTTTGGGACGGTTCATCATCGACATAGTCGATGGGATTAAATTGTCAATTTCCATTGGCTGTCTGAAAGCAGTTTGCATTGAAGAAGATGAACCACCACCGGAGCAAAAAATAAATAAAATTAGCTAAATTAAACAGTAGGGAAACAGTGGTGGGAAGACAGCACCATCTCCTATGCACTTTGGAGTACTCCCCATACCCAGATTAAATGCACCATTGAAAAAATACCTTCATTAACAAGAATCCTTGGCACGCTAGTGAAACTATTGAGTGTAGCATTTTGATGTTTTCTAAAATTTTTCTTCATTTCAAAAATGCGGAATCACCTCGTGGATTTAGGGTGATACGGTCAAAATTTGGTCAATATCAACTTGACGTATTTCTTTCAATTTTGCATTTAAAAAACCTGAACACCCCTCATTTTGAAGGTGTGTGTGTGTGTAGAATGTTGCTCCTATTTTGATTTTGGAATTCACTCTTCAGTTGTCAAAATGCCGTCCAAGCAAGAAGAGCAGCGTATCAAAATTTTGCTCGCGCATCGCGAAAATCCGAGCTACTCGCACGCAAAGTTGGCAAAATCGCTAAAAGTTGCCAAATCAACCGTTACAAATGTAATTAAAGTGTTTGGGGAACGTTTGTCGACAGCCAGGAAGTCTGGATCGGGGGGAAATCGAAAACCGGAAGCCGCTGAGACGACAAAGAGAGTTGCCGGTAGTTTCAAGCGAAACCCTAACCTCTCCCTCCGAGATGCCGCAAATAAGCTGGGTGTATCGTCTACAACCGTGCATCGAGCCAAAAAACGAGCCGGACTATCGACTTACAAGAAGGTAGTGACTCCAAATCGCGATGATAAACAAAATACGACGGCCAAAGCGCGATCCCGGAGGCTATACACGACGATGCTGACGAAGTTTGACTGCGTGGTAATGGACGACGAAACCTACGTCAAAGCCGACTACAAGCAGCTTCCGGGACAGGAGTTTTATACAGCAAAAGGAAGGGGAAAGGTAGCAGATGTTTTCAAGCACATGAAACTGTCAAAGTTCGCAAAGAAATATCTGGTTTGGCAAGCCATCTGTACCTGTGGCTTGAAAAGCAGCATTTTCATAGCTTCCGGGACTGTCAACCAAGAAATTTACGTGAAAGAGTGTTTGAATAAACGTCTGCTGCCTTTCCTGAAGAAACACGGTTGTTCCGTACTGTTTTGGCCGGATTTGGCATCTTGCCATTACGGTAAAAAGGCCATGGAGTGGTACGCCGCCAACAACGTGCAGGTGGTTCCCAAGGACAAGAACCCTCCCAACACGCCAGAGCTCCGCCCAATTGAGAAATACTGGGCTATTGTCAAGCGGAACCTAAAGAAGACCAAAAAACTGCTAAGGGCGAGCAGCAGTTCAAGGCAAACTGGCTTTCTGCGGCGAAGAAGGTGGACAAGGTGGCTGTACAAAATCTGATGGCAGGGGTCAAGCGTAAGGCCCGGCAATTCGGATTTGGAAAAGCGGAAGCCTAACTGAATATTTTTCCTGAATTTTATACTAATTGAACTTGAAAAAGAAATTTAATTTGATTTTTTAAATAAACGATTTCACCGATTTACACGCGTTTTCCCTTGACCAAATTTTGACCGTATCACCCTTTAGTCCTTCAGACGATGAAATTGCGATTCTCACTACCCACTGTATGAATCTGGGACGTGGCCTTAGCAAAAGAAACATGGCCTGTAAACGTTTGCTTCCACGAATTTGAGAACAACGCAACAAACCGTTGAGTCATTCGGATCGGTGCGAAGCCTCCTGCAGACACCGGTGGCCAATAGGATTAGAACCAATAGATTCTCCGCTGATCATGTCTTTCGCTGAAATCAACCCTGAAAGCACTGTCTGTAGCATCATGGAAGCCCCTAGTCCTCCCGACCCAGTCGTGCTTGCTGTTAGTTCCTTCCTCCAAAGTCGTTCTGGACGTGTGGTCGAGGAAGGTGTCGGGGTCTTCCAAAATCTTCTCACCTGCAAGTATCTCGCTTGTAACAGCATTTCGTTGGTTCATCGTTCTTTGGCTTCTAGAATACTACAATTACGCTCAAACACTACCGAAAACGAGTTTCTCAATTCCGAATCTAACTTCGGTACGCTTCATCTGGAACATTTGGAAGCAAATTATCCTTCCGTCTCAGTCGAGCTTGGCGTTAGTTCCCGCCGTCTTAGTCGTCCCGGCTCTCAAATCGAATGCGGAAACGGGGTTCTCCTACCTGTGATGACAGGTCCGAAAACCGACAACAGATACTCCTTCAATCACTTCTGCAAGTTGATCAGCTTCATCCCGGGACGCACCAGCTTGAGAACTTCGGAGACCCCTGATCCCCCCATCACAGTCGTGCCTCTCCTGCCAGCGTTCGGTAGACGTTCCGGCCCTGTGTTTGAGTCTGGTGAAGGGGTCTTCCAATCCGCTACTTCAGGCAAGTACGCTCTCAGTAACAGCAATTATGTACCTGATACGGCCGTCGTTTCTAGCCAGCCACTTCATGTTCGTCTCTCTCCATATGGAGGTCTCCAGGCATTCGTTTAGCTCCCATTCCGGACCTGTGTATGAGAATGGAGAAGGGGTCTTCCAAACCGTCTTCGCAGGCAAGTACACACATGATTGGAATACTTCTCCTCCCGTAATGCCCATCGCTTCTAGTCACCACACTTCAAACGGGTTTCACTCGGATATTAACTGCTGAATTAGCCGGCGCCGGTGGTGTAGTGGTAAGCGTGACTGCTTTCTCACCCCAATGAGTCTGGGTTCAATCCCAGCCGAGGTCGGTGGGATTTTTCTGAGGCATAAAAATCTCTGGTCACGTCTTCCTTCGGAAGGGAAGTTAAGCCGTTGGGCCCGGCCCATGTGTGTTGAATGGGTGCGATATCCTACGCAGGTGTGGTAGCTGCCTTCCTGCACATTCGATTGCCGTCGGTGATTGGCACTAGATTGCGGAACAGAGACCGACGTTAAATAAAGGAATGAAGAAGATTAGCGCTGAATCATCTCTCGCAGTAGCTGCTGCACGTCGTCTCTTTAAGCAAAGTTTCCCCTACCCGGTGATATTGATGGTTTGCGTGGCTGTCTTGTGGGTGGTGAGAAAAGGCATAATAAGGTTTGTTTACAAAAAACTTGTATGCCCTTTTCACATGTTGTTCTTGAAGTATGCAAAGTTTTATGCAAATCGAAGAAGGTAGAATCAAAAATTTATTTGTTTTTGCCAGTTGTGGAAAACGGGGGAAGATCAACCCAGGGAATTGTGTTCAGTTTACTCTACAGATAACAAATTTATATCTCACCTTATATTTAAGTACCGCATAGGAGCGTTTATATGGTCATTTTGCCAATGTTTGTTAATGTTTAAACTTTATTTTTGAGATGTTTAGCCGTAGGCTAGTTCATCTCTTTGTTTATCGTGCTTGTTTAAAATAGTTCTAGTGCACCAACAATAATTCAAATTTGATTTGGCTCCATTTGTATGCATTTTACGATTATGCAACAACTGAATACCCCATAAAAAAACAATTCTTGGAAGAATCATCAAGGATATATCCCATGATTTTTTAGAGTTTCCTGAAGAGAATTTCCGGAACAGAGCAATATAAATTTCAATGGAATCCCAGAGAGAATCTCAAATTCTAATCAAATATTGTAATGATTTCTGTGCGATTTTTCAAGGTTTTCAAAACAAATTTTGGTGATTTTAGACGTATTAATTCTACAATTAGAATTCAAGATCGAGGAAAAATGCTGCTGTCCATTTAACGATCTCTTCGGCTCAATCACATTTATTTTATGTAGATTTAGAATAACCGGATAAAATTACCAAAATTAACCAGGAAATTGCTTATCGAGATTTACGACTTGCATAAAGAACACTGAACTAAAGGCAGCGGATTCATAAAAGTATTATTAATATATGTTTAGAGAAATATGCCATAGATATCCGCTAGGCTAAAAGCTTTCCCATGTGTTACTCATTGTTACGGGGGAAAAGTTTCCATTTTTCACGACAAGGCATAAATGTTGTTAATTAAATTCCATTGTCTACACACCCATATTACATAGCGCTGAAAGTGCACTCGATCGATCATATGACGAAGCGTAGACTGGCCAATGTACTGTATGCGATGTAATTCCCCGGCTGGGATAATTGAATCAAGTTCTTTACCTTCACACCGTGTGCTGCTAAATATAAACAAGTACCTAAGATCATCAACAACAAACTGGAATAACTAAAACTTGATTCTTTTCCAATTACGACATCCTCTTGATGTTCTTCCTAACATGCTGCAATGTTTCAAATGGACTTAATATGCATGCATGCAACTCAACGCAGTACAGTTAAACTTTCAGTTTTAATCTCTTGAGCCAGGGTTGAGATGATCACGGCTTGTTTGGTTCCCGCCTCGAATCCGTTTATCTCGCAGGAAAAGGCAGATTGTTCGAGTGGTACTTTGTATTCACTGATTCCCTTTTAACCTTTCGAGTTGTGCGATTCCGGATATTTTCGCAGGAACCCAAGGGAACGGCGGTGGGGAAATTTATGTTCAAAGGGAACAGCAAATATGTTGCAACAAAAAGGGCAATGCACTCTCCACGCTGTTGAAGAAATGCATTCTATGTGAGGGCTTGTTGCAACTTTCTCATATTGAATATGTGTACATTTAACAACACTTACAATCCCGGCTCATTCCAACGGCGAGACACTTTTTGAACCGACAGTACTGGCACCGGTTTCGGTTGAGCCGTATCACCAGACACTTGCCATCCCGCAGGCAGCGGTACTCGATCTGCTTCTGGATGCTCCGCCGGAAGAATCCCTTGCAGCCTTCGCACGACGTCACGCCGTAATGATAGCCGGAGGCCTTGTCGCCGCACACCTTGCAGGCCACGAACGTCTTCGAGGAGGTCGTCGAGCTAGCATCCGAACCGGCACACTGCTGTTCTGTAATGAGGGAGGAGGGAAAGAAGAACATGATGAGTGGAGGAATTACATTAACTTGAGGGAAAGAGTGTTGAATTTAATGTCTCGAAAAGCAAGTATCCAAGAGCTGGCTGGTGTCGATGGTGTACCGTAATTGAGGATCATTAGAAGAGATAATTTTTAAAATTATGCAAATGAGGAAGGGCCTGAACTTTTAAGATTTGAAAAAAAAAACATCATATACCGTAAGACGGGGTGACATTGGGCCAAAATTTAAAAATGATGCAAATATCTTGAATAAATAGAAAATGATGACTAGAATGTGTTTCTTGAACTCCTAGAGTAGGTTCTAAAATATAGTAGTCTAAAATGCCCACTGGCAAACAAAAGTGTGAACACACTGTTATGTAGATAGACGAGGGTAACACGCGTTTACATTGTGATTATAGCCAAGTGTACTTCTAATAGCTCCGTTACCTTTACATATTTTCAGATATTTTACCCAAATTTATGTTTTGGCCCAATGGCACCCTCCATGATCTATTTTTAATTGAATTTTAGTAAAATGAGCCATCGATTTTAATCAACAATGTCTACGATAGTCTTATATCATTGATCAATATATTAATGCTTAATAATGCTTAAAATTGTTTTCCTTGCTAAAATGTGAATGTTGTAATGTGATTTTATGACCCCCACTTACGGTAGCAACAAATATTTAGAATAACCGTAGCGCCAAACCGTTATTTGATAATCATGATGAAATTTTCTTTGTTAAAATTTTAGATGAGTATGCATTCGTATTCATTCCCCGCACGTGTGATTCATAACTGGTTTCAGCTAAAACTGTAACACATATTCGTTCTAGGCAGACGTTTTTCCCCAAATGCATAATGAGCGTGTGTGATTAGTGATGCCACGAATCATCGCCACTACAGTTGTTAAGTTTCTAAGTCATCAGATGTAGTCGGTGCGCGGTGCTGCAATGTACTTTTAGCTTTTTACTGAACCACGTCGTTATATTGGAAAAGTAATTTTAGTTGATATAAATTTATAAATACAGTGATTTTTCTGCAAATTTCCACCGCGCATAAAAGGCTGTGAAACATTTCCGGAGCACCATGAATTCCACGCAACTAGTCGTTGTTCTCTGTTCAGTGGCAGTTTTGATCTCCTCCAGCAGGGCAGATGATGCCGGAAAAGGTATAATTTCATTAATTGAACCAGTGGAACCATTTCTCATGATCTTGTTCACAGCTCCTTCGAAGCGATGCGGGGAAAATGAAGTCTATCTGGAATGTGGAAGTGAGTGTCCGCCCACGTGTGCCCCCTGGAGACGCCGCCGGACAACGATTTGCTCGAGCACGTGCGTGGCTGGCTGTTTCTGCAAAGTACGATATGTTCGGGAATTATCCGAGGGAAACTGCATCCGTCCGAGTGAGTGTCGAAGGATCCTTCGATCCAGGGGACCAGAAGAGTAGCTGTGGAGTTGTATTTGCAGATTTTCTCGAGAACCGTGCTGAATAGATTTTAAAATTAAACAATATATTTAAGCGAGCATTTAAGCTAGATTAAAATTAAAATAACATCCTAAACTTCATAAACTTCAGCTTAACTAACTTTGCTTAAATGTTCAACACGAAAATCTTGTTGGGGTTTAAAAATGCGTTTTAAGGTATTATGCTTATTGTAACACCATTGTTTCAGTCTTCCTTCTTACCATAGGCCATTGCTCGAACTTTTCTTCGTACACGGCTAGCAAATTCAATTTCCGATTGAAATCCTTCAGGTCAATTGCAGTTCCACCCTTTTTCTTCAGTATGTGCTTCACAATTGACCAGTTCCGGAGTATTGGCCGGATTCATCCCCTTGGCAACCAGTGTGACGCCATTTTCGCTGCACCACTGTTTGGTGGGATTTGAGTAGTGGCAGCTTGCCAAGTCCGGCCAGGATAAGCAATCCACCTCAAACTGCGCCAGAAAAGGCAGTAGTCTCTTCCATAGGCACTCCTCCTGGTAAATTTGCTGGTTCATGGTCCCAGAAGTAACGAAAGTTTCGCTTTTCAGCCCACAACTGCAGATTGCTTGCCAGACAAGGAACTTTTTGGGGAATGTCGCCTTTTTTATTTTACATTCCTCTGGGGAACTCTTCCGATCAACCGAGGTATAAAGTTCAGAACGTCACACACTGTGGATTTCAACAAATTCAAAAGTGTTGCTAACTCTCAAGCAGACATACCGGGATTTTTGTTTCGTGCGTGTAGGATCGAATTGCTCCGGTGAAGCCATGATGTAAATAAATGAACTTATCCTGACAACCAATGCCTACTGTGATTCTATACACTCTTAGCTCGATTCAGTGAATGGCAGCGTTTTTAATGTGTCTGGATTTTTTTCGTGTTCAACCTTTTATCACTTGAGCATGAGCATGAGCATGATTGACCGCCCACGGTTGCTACTCTGTTTACACAGAGAACCATTGTCTATTGGTGCCTGGGACTAGCAATCATCATCAATGTGTAAAAACTGGTGATCTCGAATTAGGCAATACCAGCGCCAGCCGCGCCTGAACGCAGGTCAAGAAAGGAATGGGTAGGAATGTGTTGACGTGACACTCGCTTTGATGGAAGTCGAGGAGTCCTCTGCACTTCCACGAGGAATGCCCCAGGCTGAAAGCCTCCCTAATAAAGATACATTAATTCCACGAGGAATCACAGGGATGTTGAGTAAGAGGGTTGGGTTTGCAGCAGGGTTCGTTTTGGTAAACGATAAGCTAAATTGATGTCCTAACGATCGTATAACGCGAAGGAACTTGGGATTGAACCCACGGTCTTCTGCTCAGTAAGCAAAAACGTTTGCCACTAGGCAGACGAGCTCCTTTTTAATCATTGACGAATCTTGAATGTGGATGGGCTTGAGATTAGACTCATGATGTTCTGCTCAGTAAGCAAAAACGGTTGCTCTAAGGTCACCGAGCCTCTCATATCACATTATAGCGTTACTCAAGTTTTTATAACTATTCAAACCCGGCACCGACGACAACGAAAAGTTTTACAAAATACACGATAAACAAGCGATCTTCTTCTTCTCTCTTCTTCTTCGCATTTCAAGCTTATTGCATATCGCATATTAGCTTATTGCGTGCTCTCAAATGAGTGTTCTAGATGCAATCGTGAAAAAAAAAATCGAGATCTAAGATCCTGAGAGCCTGACAATTTTTAAAAATTGCATCAACTACCAGGGAATGTCGTTCACGCATTTAACGATTGATTAGAATATCATCATTTCCGTGAACTGCTCACCTCAGTGCTGGCATCGGATCACTTGCATGCAACATTGTTAGCGAATTAGCGAGCAAGCTTGTTTTCCGCGAGAAACTCGAATGATGTCGTTACTGATGTCCTAATTTATTGAGGTACAATGTTTTCAAGAAAAACTTTTTTTTTCTTTATTTTAGAGCCTTTAGCTGGTTCGTCTCTTAAGAAACCCCTATTCAAAGAGTAACGTTTGTTTGTCTGTGGTTTTGTATTAAAAATGATCTGAATTAGTAAAGAAGTCTTTACAAATAATTGTCACAATTAAGCCTAGCTTATTTTATGACAAGGCTTCGTTACCGCCATTTAATTAAAGCTATAGCGAGCATGAACTACTAAATTGTTTACAAGCTTGTATGCAATACTGCTGGTTTAAGCAAAATTGCGCTTACATTTACTTGAAATATCGTGTAAATTTAAGTTGAATCTAGCGTTAAAAACGTGTGCGCTATGTATCGCAAGAAATTTACATGAGTTTTTCAAACGGTGTACAGACTGACTGAACTGAGCCATTACAGTTCTCGTAAGAAATATCTACGGAGGGTGTATTAAATTCATGTTTAAATTGTAAGCCATTTTTGCGTGCATGGGCCTCCACTGTGCGTATCCTGTAGATGTTGTTTCCACGGAATAAATAAACGCTTGCAAACCACTCCTAGTCCGCTTTCAAAACGCTGATCGCATGCATCCCAACAATAATAACCAATTTACGACTGAAACTGACAACCGAACGAAACCGTTTCGCGAACTCCAATTGGCTCCGGATGCCGAACCAGTACAGTTAGTCGTTCTAGCTCCAGTTGCTTGTTCTTCATTCTGCCTAATTTGAGCTTGCTTTCTTCTTGCACAATGTCGTCTTTCTCCAGTCACCTACCTCCCAACGACCTTTCACCACTGCTGTTGCTGTTGTTGTTGTTGTTGTTGTTGGATATGTTTGTTTCGTTGCTTGCCGGTCGCGCGGTAGTGCATTAAACTTGCAAATATTTTAATTTAAAATCCATTGATCAACATGATATCGCCTACCGGTACCGTATTTTTTTTATTTAGCTTCTGTTGTCTTTTGCAGTGTTCCCTACTTCTGTTGTTGTTTCGTTACTTTTTACAACGCCGTTTACGGTCTTTGCCAATGTGCAAATGGATGGCAGATCGTATAGTATGAGACCTTTCTGCTGTTGCCATGCTTTTTTTTAATGTGCTTTGCTTCCCGATCGGTCGTCGGGCGGTCGGTCGGTGAAAGGTTCGTTGAACTTATTATGTTTATTTTCTTCGCCACTGATGCTGGTTTGTTGTTATCTTTTCCTGCTTCGTTTTTGTGATCTTGCAAGTTCTTTCTTTCGCGCCTTCTCTTTTCCACCCGTTCGCCGTTTTGTTTTGGTGTGTATCTTTCCTCTCTTACACGCTATGTCCCGTTTTGTACTGCGATTTTGTCTGGTCTTGTGTGTCTTCGCTCGCTCCTTTGCCGGCCCTCTTCGCGTCCCGTCTCAGAGCAGAACGAGAGCGATGCGAGCTTTTTTGTATTATTCTTTCAGCAGAGTGGGATGCCATCGCCAGTGGGGTGCGACTTTCTTCGCGAGTGATCTTTTCTTTTGCTGTACATAGTTTGCTGTCGTTTCCGCTGTTCCTCCCCTCGTTCAGAAGATCAATGGATTGTGTGAGCGAGCATGGAAAAATGAGATCATAACGAGTTTGATTCTTTGTTCGGTCCAGTCCAATGAATTACCTGGAGGAAATAATTATGACGATTGCTGATAATAAAATATTGATAAATAATAAATAAACTGTTTTGGTATTGTGGTCATTCTGCTGGATTTTTGTTATGAACATTTTCTGCATTTTCGTAAACAGAAACTAGAGCTATACGCCACGCGGCCGCCACTCCACCGCCGCCGACGTGATGATTTTTGATACGCCGCCGTTAAAATTTTGGTTACACCGGCAATGTAAATATGTGTTTTATAGGGGAAATGGGTGTAATGTCGGCCTAAATATCCCTAATTTGGGCCCATACATAAATTCAGCAATCGACTATATTTTGAATAAAGACCAAAAATATCCTGTTGTACCGTCCCAATGACGCGTTCATCTAGATAAAATTGATAAAAAGCAGATGTTTAGCAATGGGCCCAATCTTAGATCCATTGGCCAACATTAGAGCCATTTCTCCTATTTTTAAATTTAAGAAAACGTTTTTCTTGTGGTTACGCACCGAATTATTTGGAATGGACCAAATCAATGGAATTTTGACTATAGACCAGATTTTATAAAATCAGTTGACCGGTTCCGGAGATATGGACATAACATGTTCAGGTTAGTATGAATCCAAAAGCTTTAATATATCACATGAGGATTCAAACACAAGATTAGTGGAAGTCATAATAAGTATACAAAACTATGTTGTTTTTATTCAGACATGCTACAGGTACCTCTGGCGTTCGATGGCTGTTAATTAAACCCACCGATTCAATGCCAGCTAAAGCACCGTCAGAAGGATTTGTCAGCGAGAAGGATTTCGATCTTTTCGGGTCAGTAAGCGACCAAACAGGACACTGAAGTTGTACAATGAGGTTCTTACAAAGTACGAAGGATGCATCCTCATGGACGACAAAACGTACGTGAATATGGATTATGGGCAGGTTCCCGGACAGAAGTTCTATTAAGCCACAGTCACTTCTGAATCAGTTCAGAAAAGTCTCAAACCACTTCGGAAAGTAAGAATTACTTTTGAAAAATTCAGCATCACTTCGGAAAGTACTGAATCGCATCAGAAATGTTCTATAATAAGTCTGTAATCCTAAGTATTGAATTCTTTACTTTCTCAAATTATTTGACTGAAACAATTCAGTACTTTCGAACTGATTCCGAACAATCCTGAAGCTATTCAGTGTTTCGCGAAGTTTCTCAAGTGATTCAGTGCATTCTTAAGAGATTCAATTATTTTGGAAGTGATTCAGTTCTTGTGGAAATAATAAAAAAAAAACCTTCTGCAATGATTCAGTACTTTCCAAAGTGATGCCGAGTTTTTCTTAAGTGACTCCAATCTTTTCTGAAGTTATTCAGTTCTTTGTGAAGTGATTCCAAACTTTTCTGGAATGAATCAGTTCTTTTCGAAGTGATTCAGTACTTGCGGAAATGATTTCAAACATTTCCGGAATGATTCTGTTCTTTCCGAAGTTAACCTAAAATTTTC